CGACCGCACGGCTGAGCTAATAGACAGCTCGCGCGGGCAGTCGCACTGCCGTGGTTGATCTGCAAACCAATGTGCCGTCGTGACCCCTAGTAGGAGCCACCCGGTCCGCCACGAGCACTGGCCGCGCTAGGGTGTCCGCCTGGCTGCTGGTGCCCCTTGTCCGTCTTGCCCTTGCCCTTGCCCTTGTAGTTCGTGCCCTTCATGCCCTTCGAAGCCTTCACGAGCAGCTCCGAGGATTTCGCGTGGAGCTCTTTGATACGAGGGTGGTTGTGGAGGTCGCTCCAAGTCTTCCAATCCCCCTGCCACTCATAGTGCACAGACTTGTCCTCGACCCTCGCCGTGAGAGCGTGCTCGCCCCCTACTGTGACGACGTACGGGTTACCCTCGCTCGCGGAGATCGTGTATGGAATCTCCCATTGCTCCTTCAGCACCCGCTTCAAGCCAAGGCAGAAGCTGCGAGCTGCTCGTTCGGCTGGGGGGCGGTCCTGCGTGGCCCACACCTTTTTGCTGCCGTTGGTCAGGGCGGCCGAACGCAAAAGGTCGACAGCACTATCCCGAAGTATCTGAGAAGGAAACTCTGCGAATAGAATGCCAGAGAAATTGCCTTTTGAACATGTTTTCGTAGGAGTTGGGCCATTGAGGTACGATAGCTTATCCTGCAACCACGTCGTCGCCATCGTGAGGTCCCCGAGCCCGTCCAGGTTGCCGATGACCATGCTTACCGCTCGTTTGTCCGTGGTCTCGGAGGTCTGGTCCGGCAAGCGCACCTTGTTGTGCCCGCCCTCGCTGATCAGGTACTCGTGGATGCACTCGCGGATCTTCGCCTCCATGGCATCGGCCGATGGGAATGCAGGAGCCTCGAATGTCTTGCAAAGCTGTTCGAGCTTGTCCACCCGGATGTCCTGCACATTCAGGCGCTGCTCCATGGTGTCCAAGCGTTGGGTCAGCGCCTCCCTCATCTCAACGACGGAGCCGTCGAGCTTCGAGAAGTCGTTGCGGAGGCCGGCGACTGCCGAAGTTACTGGGCCGAGCTGCTCCTTGAGCAAGGCAGCAATACCTTGCATGGTGATTCGGCCTCCCAGCCGCGGCTCCTGGATTAGTTCCTCCTCCTCCTCCTCCTCCATCCCTGCGGCGTGCCCTCGAGGGTCGTACGGGGCATCGGCATCAGCTTCGAAATCCGGTTGACGGAATGGTGGGCCCGCATGGTCCGTGGCGTTCTCCTCCGGGTCACCGGGCATCTGCACGTAGCCGTCGCCGCCAAGGAGTGGAGCGAGAGGTGAATCTGGTCCATGGCCCAGGCGCGCCCTCTTGTCGGTCTTCATCTTCATCCACGGGTCGCCGAACATCTTGTCCACTGGAGTGCCGGCCTTCCGGGTGTGATCGCGAGAGGCGGGAGTCGGCGAAGGCAACATGGCTTCAAGCTCTTTCTCGAGATCCATCGCAAAGGTCCTCTCTCGCTGTGGTTTCTGAGTGGGGCTCGTCAAGGCCCTCGCGGGCACCCCAGAATCGTGTTGTTGAGTCGCGTCTTGACTTGAGTCGCGTCTTGACTTGAGTCGCGTCGGGCCCCCCAGCAGGCCTCGAAAATGGCGACAGTTTCGCAGATCGCAGCCCCCCAGGGATGGCGATGTCTAATTTGAATCCGCGGCGATTGCCCTCACTGTGCTGGGCCCCCCAGCAGGCCTCGAAAATGGCGACAGTTTCGCAGATCGCAGCCCCCCAGGGATGGCGAGGTCTAATTTGAATCAGCCCGTGGCCCTCACTGTGCTGGGGCCCCCAGCAGGCCTCGAAAATGGCGACAGTTTCGCAGATCGCAGCCCCCCAGGGACGGCGAGGTTTAATTTGAATCTGCCCGTGGACCTCACTGTGCTGGGCCCCCCAGCAGGCCTCGAAAATGGCGACAGTTTCGCAGATCGCAGCCCCCCAGGGATGGCGAGGTCTAATTTGAATCTGCGCGTGGCCCTCACTGTGCTGGGCCCCCCAGCAGGCCTCGAAAATGGCGACAGTTTCGCAGATCGCAGCCCCCCAGGGATGGCGAGGTCTAATTTGAATCCGCGCGTGGCCCTCACTGTGCTGGGCCCCCCAGCAGGCCTCGAAAATGGCGACAGTTTCGCAGATCGCAGCCCCCCAGGGATGGCGAGGTCTAATTTGAATCTGCGCGTGGCCCTCACTGTGCTGGGCCCCCCAGCAGGCCTCGAAAATGGCGACAGTTTCGCAGATCGCAGCCCCCCAGGGATGGCGAGGTCTAATTTGAATCTGCCGCGGTTACCCTCTATGCAGGACCCCCCAGCAGGCCTCGAAAGTGGCGACAGTTTCACAGATCGCAGCCCCCCAGGGATGGCGAGGTCTAATTTGAATCTGCCGCGGTTACCCTCTATGCAGGACCCCCCAGCAGGCCTCGAAAGTGGCGACAGTTTCACAGATCGCAGCCCCCCAGGGATGGCGAGGTCTAATTTGAATCTGCCGCGGTTACCCTCTATGCAGGACCCCCCAGCAGGCCTCGAAAGTGGCGACAGTTTCACAGATCGCAGCCCCCCGCAGGCAAGACAAGAAGAGGCGGGAGGCGGGAGGCGGGAGAAGGGAGAAGGGACGCGACCACACTGCTCTATTCAAAACGAATACCCAACCAAGGAGGGTTGGGAACAAAGTCGTCCCCAGGCTGTTTTTCTTATATTTTTGGATATTCCTCCTGATGAGGGACACGCCCGACTTAACACTCGTGCGCGGTGGTGGGGCGTGCCGACAAGAGAACCGGGAACGGCGTCCACAGGATTGGTGCGCATAGCGCTCGCGCAGCCCCCACCACGAACGCATGCACGCAGGCGCCATCACGTACGATAGGTTAGTGCGGCGTCGGCGCGCGCAAAAGTTTGTGATACCGCGTCGATCGTTCAACCTTGAATCGATCGCGGATCCGACCATTCAAGGTTGAATTACGTCGGGTCCAGTGGCGTCACCGTGTCCCTCGGTGCTTCCGCGTCGCAGAATTCAAACTTGAACGCCTTCGCTGGCGTCGCCGGCGCGCCAACGCCGCATGAATCTACCGTAACGGATCGGGGGCGTGATCTGCCCCGTTGGCGCGGATTGATGTCGTTGCCTGCCCGGCTGGCGCGGTTTGACCATTCCGTTGAAAGTGCTCCCCGGCATCGGCGAGCCGTCTCCAGACAACAAAAACTGATAGCATTCGAAACAGAAATGTGTCAATGCATCTAACAACACTATGGAAACGTCACGGGCATAATATAGATACACCGAACAAGGAGTGTTACACATCAATCAAGATTTCAACAACAAACAATGCACAAGCTAGCGAAACCTGGGAATCCGCGAAGTAGTATACAAACGCTTCCCGAACATGTGAACGTGGCCATCACAAGAAGTTGGCACTCGCCCTCCCAGCCCAGACCAGCGCCTTGCTTCGCGACCAAAACCACGAAACACATGCCCATGTCTCCCCAACAGGTTAGCGCAATCGTTACGGCACGCGGCTTCCGCTTCAGCGAACATGACGCAGAAAAGAGAATGCAGGAGCATATCGTTGCCTGGCTGTATGCGTGTATGTGAAGCTCCTCTGAACACCGATAGTGGTGACCATGATGTGGGGCGATGAACGCGATTGGAAACAAAAGATGGCTCAAGGCTGCGAAACGCAGAACACCTCCCTGTTTTGCTATGACCCTAGAGACCATGAAGAAGAGCATCCCCTCAAAACACCCTCTGCAACCCGCTGGAATGTCCTCTCTTGGGCATGTTTGAGGCCACGTAAACCGAATCGGGGCCAGCGTCGCCCATATGTTTTCATACTGGTGTGCCATCTGAGCACTATACTAGACTCATTCGGAGCCTTCTTGGGGCCGTCCTAGGGGTCCTGCGAGGTCCTATTGAGCTGTCGTCGGCCCTCTTCTAATCAACCCAGTCCTCGTCCTCCTCGTCCCTCTTCGCTTCTCGACGCCCACTTCTCCTCGTCCTCCTCCCCCTCCTCATTCTGACCCTTGCCCTCCCCTCCTCCGTGCCCTTCGTCCTCTCATCGACCTCCCTCACTCCTCGTATTGCTCTTCGTTATTCTCTTCACCATTTATCACTCACCTCCTCCCGCCCTACTCCGCGCTTGCCAGCAATGCGAACCATATCATCGCTCCCCGTCCTCGTGGCTTGTCAGAAGCTCCCCAGCTCGTCGCGGAGCCCCCACGCCGACGAGGAGAGAACAAGAGGCCCCGGACACCCGACGTCACGACTCTTTGCGCCACCTGGGGCCCCCGGACCTCTCGATCCCCAGGACGGGATAGGTTTTTGCAGACGGTCCTGGGACCTGAGACGTCCAGCAAACTCCCATAACGATGCCCTCCGCAAAGAGCCACCAGATGCACCAAGATAGCGTAAAAGCCAGCCAGTCTATGTTTGTCGCGGCACCAGAGGTCAGGGGACCACGACACACCCTGACCAAGATGGCATGAGAGAACGCAGAGAAGCATCCCGAGAGGGGGCGCGACTCTGGCTCCTGGACGGGGCGGGGGGTTGGGGGCGGGGGACACGCTTGGATCGAGGAACAGGAGGATGAGCAGAGCAACGGAAATCTCCTGAATGATTCTGTGTATGTCGTTCAGCTTCTTTTCTGCTTCGAGCTCCCCAGACGCCCCCGCTGCGACTGCCGCAGTGGGGAGGAGGCGCAGAATGACGAACGAGCAACCCACGCCCATACCCGTGGGGGGTCGGAGGGAGGAGGACTGGCCATGGACATGGGTGCGGGTTGGCGGACCCCCAGGGGAGGCTCCAATTCGACCGGGGACCCCCCATCCGACAACACGCACCCATAGCCTCCTCCGTCCTCCCCCTGGCGGGTCTCGTTCGTAGTAAAACAGGGCTAGGATCGGGATAAATCGCTCCAGAGCGTTCCGGAGCGCTCTCAGAGCGTTCCGGAACGCTCTGGAGCGGCCGCGGCGCCCAATACATCCTCCAAACCCGCCGATTCTCAGAGATTTCGAGTTATCCCGATCCGAGTTTGCCCCGATCTTCGCGTCGTCTTACGTAGGCTACAGAGGAGCTGCAGGAGCGAGCAGGGCAGGGGCAGCGGGATCCGGACCGTGGCTGGACGCGGCTCGTGGCTCGTGCAGGCGAGTGCCCGCGGAGCCTTTCGAGGCAACAAGCTGCCCGAGCACCTTGGCTTGGCCAAGCTCTGCGGAGTGGGAGGACGCCAAGTATACACAGTACGCCTACGTTAGAGGCCTCCTAGATGGGGTCGGAGTAGATGGGGTCGGAGGATCGCGCCGCATCGCCGATACATCGCCGATGCATCGGCGATGCATCGGCGACGTCGGTGATGCACCGGCGACGCCGGCGTGGAGAAAATCGGGCTCCACATCGCGCCGCATCGCTGATGCATCGCTGATGCATCGGCGATGCGGCGCGATCCTCCGACCCCATCTGCTCGAACCCCATCTGGGAGGCCTAGATACGTCGGCTACACGCAAGAGTGGCCCTAGGCATGAATAACCTTTGGTGCGCGGCTGTTGGGGGGCCGCGCGGGGAGGGCAAGACGCTGCTACCGCATCGCGTTCGGCGATCGGATGACTACATTGGACCCGCACCAAAGGACTCTCCGGCGAAGGGCCACTGTCACGTGTAATCGACTACACCGATCCTGGGCAGGGCCATCCTAGGTTAAGGAGCAACTCCTGATAGGTTTTTGTAAGAACAAATAGGGCTGTATTCAGCCCGAGTAGTGGGGGCTGCCAGTAAGCCAGACTAAACCGGATTGAGCCAAGGACTAGGAAGGATCTAGCGGGATCTCAAGAGATGATGCCTGCTTCGAGCACGGATATACCAGCGCCGATGCTGAACGTAACTTCCCAGGAGATGCACCCGAAACTGGACCCAGGACCTGTGCACGCGCGCTCTTGGCCAGGCCAAGAGAGCTAGCGCACCGATCGAGGATTGGCACGTCGAGGACCAGTGCTGGTGTTGAAGGGCAACGTTAGGGGGGGACCAGCTCGGGGAGGAAACATCGATCTGGAATCGGCGATACATCGCCGATAGATCGTCAACAGGCCCCCGACAGCGAAACCGCTCGGTCCTGGGCGGGGTGGGCCATCGGGCCCATCGGCGATGCATGGGCGATCAGGAGTCGATGCCCCCCGCCCCCCTAGCAAATCCCTCCTGACAGTTGTCGGGCCAGAACTCGGGTCCCTGGCGGCTGTTCGGGACGATCTGGGCCCCCCAGGAAGGCTCTCAGCGAGGCGCAGTCGCTGGAGAGCACCCCGAGGCTGGAGAACCGCCGAGAACCGACGAAAACTTCCACAAACTTTGAACCCCAAGCCTCGAACGTTGCCGCGGAGGTGTGCAACTGGCGTCCCTCCAGCGGAGGGCTGAGACGCTCAGAAGAACTGCTACAGGGCGCATCACGGCGCGGCTGCTGAAGACACGGACGGGCGGCAGGCGCAAAGCGGCGGGCTCGTCTTCCCGAGGCAGCGGCCGCCGACTCCTGTCCGGTCCCCCAGGCCCGCCTTTCCGAGTGTGCCTGAATAGTGGTAGGGCGAATTCATTTTACAGTCTGTGCAATCCGCCACCACCACTGGTGAGGCTTGGCAGGGACGCCCCAAGGTTGAGGTGTCGAGACCGCCCCAGGCTCTATTCGGGGAGCCCGCTGAGGCCAGTCGGGGCTGCCTGGAGGGGCTGCAAGTGCTTAACCCGAACCTAGCAAACCGCAGCTGCTCAGTCGCCTGCGAATGGGATTGTCTGTGTGTGTGCGTGCGTTTGCGTATCCTTCTTGTGCCTCTTCCACTGTGTTCCGTCCTGTCTCCCGTCCGTCGCCCCTTCCCTTCCTGCCCGCTCATGGTCCCTTCGGCATTGCCCGCTCCTGCCTTCCTGTCTGGAGGACGAGGGAGGAGGGAGGAGGACGAAGAGGAGGACGAGGGAGGAGGCAGGAGGGACCTGAGGAGAAGACCGACCAGGAGGTCGACAGCGAGGAGCGAGGAAGACGACCAGGACGAGGCGAGAGGAGCACAAAGGAGGCGGAGGCGGATGAGGGGAGGCGGCACGGAGGAAGGGAGAGGAAATTGGGCTGTTTTGCTGTTGTGTTTTCTCTGTCATTCCTCTTTATTTCTCTCTCTCTCTCTCTCTTCAACGCTATCTCTCTCTCTCTCTCTTTCTCTCTCTCTCTCTATATATATATATATATATCCAGTCTCGGCTCGAAAACTTAGCTCATAGCCCAGACGCCAGGCGCATCGCATTCATCCTTGCCTCGCGAGACCAGACACGGCCCATCCATGGACGTGACATATTGGCGCCAATTGCATCTTCAGTTCACGCGCGCGCGCCATGGCCCGAAAGGTCTTCGCAGCTAGCGCACCGTCACCCAGCAGTGCAAGCCGCCAAGAAAGGGTAAGCAGAAGGTCACCCTACTGGATGGCAACCTGTCCCGAGAGGAGGCCCGTGCCGCCGCGCTCCAGGGCAGCGCCGCCGATATTGGTGCTGTTGTCAGCCTCCAGGCCTGCGAAAGAGGGCATCCGCAGCACCTGGCGCAGAGCCGCTCCCGCTGCCCAGCGCGCGCCCGCGGAGGGCGCCGCCCAAGCGCGCCCGCGGGTCGCGCGCCCCAGACCCGCGAGGGGCCCGGCCGCCCAAGGGCCGCAGCTCCTGGGGAGCCGAGTGGCCAAGTGGCCGAGGGATACCAATCTTAGGTCGGGCATGTCCCCCTACAGGCCGTTGTTGTATGAAACAGACAGAAGACAGGTTCGAGACGTATCCAAACACAGTCAACCATGGTTTCCAGACTATTTGCTTAAGCAGTGTTGAGCATTCCTCCTGTAGAGGGACAGGCCCGAATTGCTACCAGTCATATCTTGTTCCCATCGCACTTAACGACCACATCCCAGGAAGAATTTCGAGCACACAGGAAAATACCGAAACGGTGTCAAATGAGTATATCGCCTCCCGGGGCTGGGTGCGCGAAAACCCTCCAGTGTCGGTACTTTCTTGGAGCTCGAAACTCTTTCTGGCGATCAGGGCTAAAGTAGGCTGGAGCATCACAATACCAGTCCCGAAGCCTGACCGAGTGGTGACCGATCACGCCCACGGACGGTCCACTGACACCATCGAGGGCGTCTCTTTCGCCCCTGCAGGCGGCGCGCAGCCTGCAACCGCTGCGCCTTCTGGTGAACCAAAAGGGACCCCTAACCCTTTGTGAGGGGACCCAAGTTAGGAGACCCAAAAACAATAAGGGTACACCCTGCGAAATGCTTTAGAAATCATGGGTTAAGAAATTCATAGTCTCAGAACGTGGATAAAAACCCAAAAGTTCCATTCAAATCTTAGGATTTACATTGAAACGTTAAGAATAATCGAGACTCTGGCCGAAAACTTGGGTGTTCTTAAGCATCGCCTAAGGTGTAGGGGGTCTTGATGCATCGAGCCAACCCGCCCAGAATCATCATACCTGGTACCCAGACGGGGAACTCAGCGAAGCCACGTCGTCACTATTCGTTTCTCCCCGAGGACCTTCTGCTGCAGCGTCGTCGACCACTTCGGCATCTGCGACCACCGAGGGGGACGAGGGCCAGCCAGATCCACCGCGGACTGCGATTACAGCACGTGGCCGCAGTGGCCCGCTAGGGCTCCGCGCCCCGTCCAGAAACGCTCGGCACCGCCAGCGCATGCGCCCAAACGACGGTGACCGCCTCCACCAGCCACCACAGCGGCTACCAAAGCTAGACGAGCGCGCTCCACTACACGCAAAGTCACTACTCGCAAATGGCCTGGAGCCGCCGCGGGGGATTCACGACCCACTGCATCGAGGCAATCGAGTAGGCACTTTGCGAGTAGTGGAACGCGCTCGGCGAAAAGCGGCCGAGGTGGAACGCTGACAGGAACGACCATGAGTAGTGCCAGCACGCCCTGCCACGCAACAGTACCAACGATCTAGCAAGGCCACGAGGCATTAGCATCCTCGACGCCCTCCGACAAACCATGCAGGCTGCGGGCCAACCTGAGCCCACCCCACGGACACCCGACTTACCACTCGAATGGGCACACGCGGCGGAAACGCCAGGGCAAATCGACACCAGTCCATCCGACCCAACCACAGCAAACAAACGCGGCGCCACAGACCACCAGGACCACAACGACCCCATCCAAGACCCCGACAGCTACCAAGGAATCCCAGATGACCCTATCGAGGACCAAGACGACGCTGACGAACTGCCCCAGACTCGTACCACCAGGCAGAGGTCAACCACCGTGACTGCCTCCGACAGAAGAAAGCACGCCAGCCAAGGCACGAACGCATCCTTCTCCACCAGCACACAGCGCCGTATGGAGCCCACGGGTACCATGACACACGATATCCCAAATCTGGATGGAGAAATGCAAAGACCGCGTCGAGGAAGACATCCGCAAACGTAGAGTTGCGCCGCTGTACCGACCTACACGAAGCCGCCCGAATTCAGACTTCAGCGGAAAGCGCACGACCCGTCTAACAGCATGGGAAAACTCGCAGCCCATTCAGCATCACAAGCGCATGACCTTCGACGGGCTGGGCAACGAGGACTGACTCATCAACCTGGGCAACTACATCCGAGCTGGCCACTTCGGCCGTTTCCACCACTTCGGCTAAACAGTGGCTCGACTGAATAACGCTCGCCCGCAATATAATGTGAGGCATGAAGGACCACCCCCTCCCCCACCAGGGGTACCGTCGACCCCCCACCAGTAACCCCGCCTCAGCCACCAAGCTAGAGTGCGGCGGCTCACATCCCAATGCCGCACAACCCACCAGAGGACCAGGACAAGTTGAGGCACCGCAACGAACTTTCCGACTCCTCAAATATCGGGCAACCGCCCAATCGGGGAGTCGGCCAGCGCCAGTCAGCCAGTCGGCCAACCGGTCGGCCCGTCGGCCATTCGGCCAGACCGCCAGTCGGCCAGTCGGGGAGTCGGCCAGTGGGTGTCGGCCAGTCGGCCAGTCGGCCAATCGAAAAAGAAGAGGGTCGGCCAGTCGGCCAGTCGGTCAGTCGTCCAGTGGGGGAGTCGACCAGTCGGCCAGTCGAGCAGACGGGGAATCGGCTAGTCGGCCAGTCGGCCAATTGGGGAATCGGCCAGTCGTCCAATCGGCCAATCGGCCAGTCGGCCAGTCGGCCAGTCGGGGAAACGGCCACTCGGCCACTCGGCCAGTCGGCCACTCAACCAGTCGGGAGTCGGCCAGTCGGCCCGTCGGCCAGTCGGCCAGTCGGACAGTCCGCCAATTGGCCAGTCGGGGAGTCGGCCAGTCGGGGAGTTGACCTTCGGCCAATCGGGGACTTGGCCAGTTGGCAAGTCGGCCAGTCGGCCATCGGCCAGCCGGCCAGTAGTCGGTCAATTGGGAAATCGGCCGAGTCGGCCAGTCGGCAAGTCGGGCAGGCGGCATGTCGGCTGGTCGGCCAGATGGGAAGTCGCCCAAATGGTGAGTCGGCCAGATGGGGAGGCGGCCAGTCGGAGACTCGGCCAGTCGGCCAGTCAGCCAGTCGGCCAGTCGGCCAATCGGCCAGTCGGCCAGTCGGCCAATCGGCCAGTCGGCCAGTCGGGGAGTCGGCCAGTCGGCCAGTCGGCCAGTCGACCAGTCGGGGAGTCGGTCGGTCAGCCAGTCGGCCAGTCGGCCAGTCGGCCAGTCAGGGAGTCGACCAATCGGCGCCAGTCGGGGGGTCGGCCAGTCGGGGAGTTGGCCAATCTGGCAGTCGACCAATCGGGGAGCTCGGGCAGTCGGGTAGTCGGGGAGTCGAGAGGACCTTGGAAGTCGGACAGCTTTTCAGGCCTCCCTGGAGGTTCCGGGAGAGCGAGAGAAAACTCCCGATAAACCTCCAAGAGAACCACGGGAGGACACGGCAGGGCGACTCAGAGAGCCTGATCGGCTACGATCTCATCCAGCCTTCGTTTGGAGATCGTGGCTGTTTGTAGCATTTCTGGAGCTCCTGTAAGCTCCTGGGCGGGATTCGAACAGCTGTTCAGGCCTCCCTGGAGGCTCCGATCTATACATATCTTTATATATATATATATATATGCGCACACACACATATATATATATACATACATACATACGCTCGTACCACGCATGCGCTTCGCGCGCGCTTAGGTTCTAGTCGACTCCGAAACTGGAATTCACCATATTGTCATACAAACGCATATGAGACAACATACTACATCATAGGTTGGCAGTGTTTCGAAATGCGGGGTCGGGGCTTCTGATTCACATGCTCGACCGCTCACTCCATACAACGAGCAAATCACATATGCCCCCTCCAAACGAAGCGGCCCCGACACGCCAAAAGCATGCTGTCGCAAACTAAGCTCCCTCTGGCCTGCGGGCCGCAGCCCCTGACCCAGACCGAAAGGTCCTCCGAGCACGCGTGCACCGCCAATACGAGGTGCCGATTGTCGGTTCGAGGAGCAAGAGGAAGCAAAAGGGTGAACCACCAGAACTGGCAATACTATTCTCAACCCTCCTGCTGTGGGTTTCGTTTTGAATAGGGCGCTCTGGTCTCCAGTCCTTCCGCCTCCCTCCTCCTCTCCCTCCCTCTTCCTTGGATACTACACAACCAGGATACCATACAAGCCTGGGCCTCACATGCCCTTGTACGGCGCGTGTGGAACACAGGAGGGGGGGGGCTCTACAAAACCTGGTGTGCTGCCAGATGGCACGAGAGGGCCCCCCCCCGCTACGCACCCGCGAGTGGTTCTGACGGTTCCCTGAGCTACGCCACGACAATCACTACAATTGGATATAGGGAGTCAACTCCTGTGGTCACTGATATACTTACTCGGATGCCATACTATTGCTGGTAACCCGGGCTGGCCCGAGCATCCACAACCAGCACTATGGCATCCACGGGCCCCCTCCAGCTTCCCATGGGACCCTATCCAAGCTCTTGTGGCGGCCTCACCTGTGACAACATTGGTCTCGATCAGTGCATCCACCAGGACCAGGACCCCACTACCATCAGCAAGGCTCCCACGAGGCTCTTGGGCATTCGACTCCATGGGCCCTACCAAAGGTTCCACGGCCGTCGTGCCCACCCAAGGGGCACCCATCATATTCTCTTGGGCAAGCCTCAAGACGGGGCCTTCAAAACCAGCTATAAGAAGACCTACCTGCCACGGGTGTTTCTGGGACTTGTAGAGTACTTGTGAATCAGTCGCTGCATTTGTTGTGAACTTGTATTGTGTGTACACGTGTGTTTGTCAGGTGTTGTGATGTCAGGTCTGTATGCGTCTGTGTTTGTATTCGACGAGGAGGATCGGGGAGCGGAGGCACGGCTGGAACGAAGACGAGGACGACGAGGACGACAGAAGAGCGACGCCGACGAGGATGACAGCGATGACGAAGAGCAGGGAGATCCCGACGAGGGGGACGACGACGAGGACGAGGAAGAGGAGGACGAGGCCGACAGCAAGGACGAGGACGAGGGCGGGGACGGGCACGACGACGGCGAGGATCGCATCGACGGCGGGGGCGAGCGGCTGGGCAAGAGCCCAAGCGGGAGGCGCCCGCTCCACGGGCAGAAAGGGCCGTCCTCGCGCGCCCGGGGGGGGGGGGCGACGACCCCGACGACCGCGACACGGCGGCGAGGGCGAGCGCCGCGGACGGGCCGCAGGGGAGCGCCAAGCCCGGCGAGGCCCCCTGGAGGAGGCCCCCCCCGAGAGAGGCCCTCCCGAGAGAGGCCCCCCCGAGAGGCCTGCGAGAGGCCTCCGGGAGGGCCCCGTGAGGAGCCCCACCCCGACAGATCCGGGCGTGTTCGCCCGGTGTTCGGGTGTTGCCAAGAGTGCCCCTGGCCGAAGGTGCCTCCAGGAGATTTCCAGGGAGGCCCCCACGGCCTCCAGAGCACCCCTCGCGAGGCCCAGAGTGCTCCAGGGGCTCCCAGAATGGAGCGACGAGCTGGGAGGCACCTGGGGAGAGGGGCACCTCCAGCAACACGCGAAGTGCTGTCGGGCCCCAGGACCCTCGCAAGTCCATCCCGCTCGAAAGATGACGCGCAAAGATGGGGTCCTGGGCTCCGGTCGTGAGTTTTGGCAGCGTTGCATTGTTTTGCAACGTCGGATCCCAGGCCAGGAGGCATCCAGGAGGCCGCGAGGCCTCTCCTCCAAAAACCGAGCACGGTGGCGTGATGGACCCAAGGCCACAAGATCAGCCGCCCCCCGTGGCTCTCACAGGGGTGCTTGGCGTGCAAAAAAAGGGTTCCCGGGCTTTCGGCTCGACCCGCCACCGTCCAAGACGACTAGAAATTTCACATCGCCCACATCCAGGATGGTAGCATGGCCCGAAGTGGCCTCCAGGACGACCACAATGTCCCAAGACAGCCTCCAGGATGGCCCAGATGGCCACAAGGGGGCCACGATGCCGCCAAGACGACCCAAGACCTGCAGACGGTCCCCAACAGGGCTCCAAGAGAACTTCCAGGAGGGCAAGATCATAGAGTTCTGGTCGGCTGGTCAACGGTTGTCGCGTTCTCGCCTTCTCGGACCTCCGACTGCCGCAGGCGACCCCAGAGGCCTCCAAGATGGCTCCAAGACAGCCCCAGAGGTCCCCGAAGGGACCCAAGACAGGCCAGGAGGGGCCCCCGTGACAGCCCAAGACGCCCACAGGACGGCCCCACGGACCTCCGAGACGGCCCCCTCCCAGAAGGGCCCCCCGCGACGGCCCAGTGAGGCCCCCCCGAGGGACGGCCTCCGAGCTCGCCAGCCCCAAGGACCAGAGGCGTGCTGAGATTAAGATCTCTGGTACCAGGTGTACAGTCGGGGCGTTGACCTAAGGAACCCTAGATAAGGAGCGAGGCCCCTTTTCCCGATAAGAAGGAACACCGAGCCCCTCGCCAACGAGAAGGGTTCCTTCTTCAGCGCCCTGACTGTAGAAGAATTCTAGTTCGCGCGCGCGTGCAGCCCCTGGGGGTCGCCGGGCGAGAAGTACCCCGAGCAATTCTCCAGCAAAGTCCCATCAGAGATGGTGTTGCTCCTGGGCGCCGCCCTCGGGGCTCCCGAGCCCCCCGAGGGGCCAAGAGGCCCCCGAGAGGCCCCCAAGAAGGTCCAAGAGTGCTCCGAGACGCCACGAGACCGCTCCAAGACACACAAGATGGCCCCCAGACAGCCCAAGAGGCCTCCGAGACGCCCTGAAAAGCTTCCCAGAGCACTCCCAAGAGCGCCCCAAGAGGCACAAATCACGGAAATTCCCAAAAGTTTTTGAATGATTGCCCCACGAGGCAAACATCATGGCTTTGCCCTTGTTTTTTGTTAGCGATGTCGGCGTTCTCGCCATTTCGGCTTCCCGACGCTTCCGCATGGCCCCAGAGGCCTCCAAGATCGCCCCAAGACGGCAGCAGAGGCCTCCACAAGGGCCTGAAGACGGCCCAAGAGGGCCCATAGACGGCCCAAGAGGCCTCCAGGACGGTCCACAAGGGCCCCGGGATGGCCCCGAGAGAGGGCCCGCTCTCGCCATTTCGGCTCCCCGACGCTCCAAGACGGCCCCGAAGAGGCCCCCAAGATCGCCCCAAGACGGCGCACAGTGGAGCCCAGGCAGCCCAGGCAGGCTCCAAGACCCTATGAAAAGCCTCCCAGAGCACTCCCAAGCAGCGCCGCAAGAGAAAATGGCATAGATGCTCCTCAGGTTCTTGACCGATTTCGGCGTCCTCGCGGCTTCGGCTTCCCCATCCCCCAGCATGGCCCCAGAGGCCTCCAGCATCGCCCCAAGACTGCTGCAGAGGCCTCCACAAGGGCTTGAAGACGGCCCAAGATGGCCCCAAGACGGCCCAAGAGGCCTCCAAGACGGCCCACAAGGGCCCCAGGACGGCTCACGCCATTTCGGATCCCCGACGCTCCAAGACTGTCCCGAAGAGGCCCCAAGATCGCCCCAAGACAATTCAAAATGGCCCCCAGCCCAGACAGCCCAAGAGGCCTCCAAGACGCCCTGAGAAGCTTCCCAGAGCACTCCCAAGAGCGCCCCAAGAGGCACAAATCACGTAAATTCCTGAAGGTGTTTGAATGATTGCGGTGTTCTCGCCATGTCGGCTTCCCCACTCTCGAACAGGGCCCCAGAGGCCTCCAAGATCGCCCCAAGACGGCAGCAGAGGCCTCCACAGGGGCCTGAAGACGGCCCCAGACGGCCTCCAAGACGGCCCGCAAGGGCCCCAGGACGACCCCGAGAGAGGGCCCACGTCAAGCCCTCGTCCCCAAGAGGCCAGGAGGCCCCAAGAGGCACCCAGGAGGCCCCAAGAAGCCCCCTAGAGCCCCCCGACATCTCCAAGAGGTCCCCAAGAGGCCCTAAGAGAGCCCCAAGATGATCCAAAGAGCGGGAGGCCGACCGGAAAGATAGGAGCTGCAAACGGAGAATGGACCGAGGACGATGAGGAAGAGGCGAAGGACGAGGAGGAGGAGGAGGAGGAGGAGGAGGAGGAGGAAGAAGACGAGGGACAGGAGAAGGAGGAGGAGGAAGAAGAGAAGGAGAAGGAGGAGGAGGAGGAAGAGGGGGAGCAGGAGGAGGAGGAAGAGGAGGAGGAGAAGGAGCAGCAGCAGCAGCAGGGGCAACGAACACGCGGGCAACTGCCAGCGATGCAGCATTATGGGCTGGCGGAGCGAAGCAACGAAATAACAAGAGACTCCTTAAAGGTCACCTGGGGCTCCCAAGAACCCCAGACATCCCACCAAATGCCACCAGGAGGCCCCAAAAATCCCAATCGCACCCCAAGGTCAGTCGGAAGGGCGGGCCAGGCGTTTCACCTGAGACTTCCTTACTAGTTATGAACCTGAAACTAAGAAACTGGCAACAGTTTTGCAGATGGAGGGCGGGTCGTTTTCTAAAATTGGCTCTCGCCTTAGCGCCGCGCACATGTACCTGACAAATTGTTAAGAACTTCACATGTTGAGGGCGAGCCGTTTCCAATATGTGACTATCACCTTAGCGCTGGGCACCTTCCTTTTTTTTCAATTTCCAAGCGCTTCCGGAATTGAGACCAGGTGGTTTGTAAAATGTGGCTCTCGCATCAGCGCCGCTCACACTCGCTCAACAAATGCAAGAGCTTCACGGATTGAGGGCGGTTCGTTTGCAACATGTGGCTCTCGCCTTAGCGCCGCGCATATTCGTTTCAAAAAATTGCAAAATATTCACTGGCTCAAATTATTGACGTAGCAGAAATGGTGCTTGGGGCGATTCAGAAGTGTCAAGGCGCAACAAGTATGTTGATTCGGCGTTCTGCCACGATTCTGGATCGTCAAGACGCAACTCGTGGCGTGGAAGTCCCTGAGATTGATGTATTGGCACGCTTCAGAATGTTCACACGGTTGTCTCCCAACGGGGCCCTTCCCTCACTGATGTACCCCTGCAGGTCCGATGTACCCCTGTAAGGGGCCAATGATTAGGGAGCTTGGAGGGAGTGTGCATTCCAAGGAGGGAGCTGAGGGCTTGGAGGGAGTGGTCCCTCTCCTCCTCCTCCTCCTCCTCCTCCTCCTCCTCCTCCACCTCCTCATCTCTCCCTGTCTCTCCAAAGTATTCCCCAAGGGGTTCAACAACTGCTTGAGGGAACACATAGTCAAATGAAGTAGACATACGTGGCCCCCAGCAGATGCGGATAAGAGTGAGGGGGCGGTGGGGACGTCGGCAGTTTGCGAGACTCTGGAGAGGCCCGCCGCAGGCGCCACAGTTTCACAAATCATACAACGAGCCCGCCGCAAGCGCCGTTAAACCAATGTGGGTAGGTCGCGGGTGAGTCGCGGATGGGTCGCGAGGTGGGTCGCGGGTGGGTCGCGGGTGGGTCGCGGGTGGGTCGCGGGTGGGTCGCTGTTGGGTCGCGGGTGGGTCGCGGGAGGGTCGCGGGTGTAGAGGGCACCCCATAATAATCACCCCGACAAGCGAAGCCGACTAGTAAACGCCCACAAAGAATGAATCGAACAGGGCAGGGCTGTTTGGGCAACGCCCAAGGCCGCTCTACTAAGAGTCAATTGTCCGGTCCGGGTGGTTTCTCCTACCTTGAGGGTGGGTCGCGGGTGGGTCGCGGGGTGGGTCGCGGGCGGGTCGCGGATGGGTCGCGGACGGGTCGCGGGGTGGGTCGCGGGTGGGTCGCGGGTGGCTCGCGGGTGGGTCGCGGGTGGGTCGCGGGGTGGGTCGCGGGGTGGGTCGCGGGTGGGGTCGCGGGGTGGGTCGCGGGGTGAGTCGCGGGGTGGGTCGCGGGTGTGTCGCGGGTGGGACGACGGCAACAAACAACAACAACAACAACAACAACAACAACAACAATCATTTTACCCGAACGCTCAGTGTTCTCACCAGTGCCAGGGTTTTCATGCGACGCGAGACAATACCCCCACTTCGTGGGGGGGCAGTTCAAGCTCTACCAAATATCCAAACGACTCTTCGCGACCACCCAAAACCCAGCTTCCCGCCCTATGACGTTGGGACACTTCACTTCGTGGCGTGCGGACGACCGTGGCTACTACACTGGCGTGGGGTACACACCCACAGAACTTGGTCACTTATTCGGGGCGCGCGTGTGCCCAGCATCCTGCAATTGTGACATACAATACATGACACAGACAGACAGAGAGAGAGACAGAGATCAGACAGAGAGAGAGACAGAGAGAGCGGAGTTGGTCACATTTTTGGGGCAAGTTCCTGAGATCGTCGTGTTTTTTGTTGGTCTT